GGGGGTTGTGGGGGGCGGGGGGACGGGACGGGACCAGCTCTTCTTTTGCAAAATTCTGAAACAATCTGAATGCACCTATTTACCCAACAAACAAAATTTAATTCTGGATCTTCACAGAGGGGCCAATGGTCTACTTGTTGCACAAAGGGCACACAAATGAGTACACAAACCATTAACTTCACTTTAGTTATTCAAATAACATCAGAACTTGCAACCTGAGCTTCAGATTCCAGTCACATTATTTACATGCTCACATCAAAACAAAACAAAATCTGCTTTCATTACTGACAATTATTAAAGGGACTCTGATTCCTCCTTACTTCATATACAAGTTCATGGTGGAAATGGGGTACTTCCAGCTCCTGAAGGCAACGTTCCGCTTCCAATACATCTCCAGAAAGCAAATATTCTTTCAGTAACATATCAATCTATTGGATTTTAAACCAAACAAAAAACCCAGTGTTAATTGGATATAAAAATTTAAAAGATGTCAACTGTTTTGATAATCTGCAACCCACTCAGCAGCAAGTTATTTCCCAAACCTTGCAGCTTTTTTTTTTTTTTTTTTTAAATACATGTCATTAAATTGAGAAGCTATCAGTAACATGAAACACAGTACAAGCCAAATACTTCTCCATAGTGTAATACAGATACCCAAGCACTAGAAATGCTGCTTGGTAAGATGCCCATCACCACAAAAGGTTAACATAGCCATGATAAAATTTATTTTCTCCCTTAAACTCTTCCTCCTTTCATCCGTTATGCTCACAGCCTAGAAATTAACACGACTGTTCCCTTCAAACCGTTTCCCTACTTCTTAGTATGGATCTCTAACCTGTCCAGATTCTTCCCCTAATTTTGTTTCTACTGTGTTTTTAATTGATGATGCCAAAAAACAAGCAAATGCTGGCAGCTTCCACCTTGGCTCTTCTATAATACTGCCTTTTCCATTGTAAACTCTTAAAGCTATAAGCAAAAATAAAAGTGTACTAGTTCATATTCTGTATTGCCTGTAGGTTCCCAGCGCTGACAAAGTAATATAGGTATCCGTTTCAATCAACGAAACGATCACTTTTTAAAAACTACTTTATATAAATACAAAAACCCACTCTGACATCATTTTGTTACAGGATACATGCGTCTCTCTGCTCCACTCCAAACAAGATAAGCTTAGGCAAACAGTAAACTCAGGAGTTTTGTACAACTCAGGCACCTCTTTCACAAGATGTTTCACAGACTGCTGGCCACCTCCTGATCCCCATACGTTGTCTATACGCTTTCCACCCTTCGTCATACTCAGCAACACAGTAGCTCGGTCGAGTGCAGCTCTAGAAAGCAAAGTTCGTGTTTTAGGAAGTTACTACAAAACATAAAGGAAAATCTGTAATACCTACACTTTCCCATTCCCATTACTTTTTGGGCACACTTCTTGTTCCAGCTCAATTTTTTTTTTCTTTAACTTTTAAACATAAGATGAATATCAAACCTGACTGACTGAACTCAAATATATTAAAATACTCTTGAAGCACTTGCAGTTATTTCTCCTCTGACGTGAGTCATTCTGGGTATTTTTTTTTCTTTTTTTTTTGGTGACAGACACTCTCTGTGCATTTCTTTCAGTTCATTTTAAATTAAGAAAGAAGACTTAATAAAGAACCACGTTGTTTATCCTAAAGCTCCAAATTTCCAGCCTATTTGCCTGGCCTTTGAAACTGAAAACTGCAACTATAGAAAGCAAATAAATTACCGAGCTTGGGTGCAATCCACAGTGCCTTTGTAGCCATCTATGTAAGTATTGCTTAAAATCCCATCTCCAACAGCTCTAGCAATAAACTGGCCCACCAACTGCAACAAAACAGAGGCACTTTTTAAATAAACCTTGAACTTCAAAGCAGTTCTAAGCAGATAATTCTAACGTGCTTGGTTTTCAGGTTTCATTTATTAAAGGAGTCATCTCGAAGTAAAAAACACAGCCCGGGAAACTGGATAGGGCATTAGAGACAGCAAGACAATCCATGCATACTTTTCAAATACAGAGTCTACTTCAGTCTACTCGACCAGTTTTAACCACAGTTAAGAAGAAAAAGCTTTTGAATACAAGTACAAAAAATTTCAGATATACCTCTGGTGCCTTGGGAGAATCCAAAACCAATTCAGGTAGATCTTTCAGTAGCCTATCAAACGATTTTTCCACATCAGTTTTGCTTACTACTGTCCCACAAAGGTCAGAGAGAAGCTTGGATGTCATTTCCCTGTGACTAGCCTTCCCCTCTAACGCCAAGGAAACAGCCAACACTGGCACACTGTATTTCATTTCACCGAGGTTTAAATCCTTCAGCATTTCCTAAATAAGATTTGAAAAATAAAACAGATTTTTTGTATGTAATATATAAAAACATATACAACCATGACATTTTATACACACACATATACACACACATATTTCTGTTCTCTTTATGGCATGAGCAGAAGCAACCATTTAGGTATTCTAACTGCACATTCCCTGCCAACATCTTTATACACTCGTTTATAGCTAGCTGTTGGACTCCCATGTACACTACAGGGCTGCCTCCTAAAATAAACAAACAAGCAAATAAATAACGTGACATACCGAAACTTCATTAGTATCGCCATGTTCAAAATATTCCTGTATGATTGGTGTTAAAGTTTTCTCAAATGCTCTTTCATCCAGAGGCAAAACTACTGTTTCATAGACACAGTTCTCCTAGTTTAAAAGGCAACAAAAACATACACACTTTTGTAAACAATATTGTATCTTCTTAGGTCTTACACAGTTTGACTAGCATGAAAATATCTTCTAAATCATTAATGCTTTAGTCCTGGCAGTCAAGATTCTATCAGAAAATATCAGATTATGTCTCCACAGCTCAAGTGCGGCTTAATGTCACGCTCCTTATAGTCTGAATTTACTGTTAGCTGAATTCAACTGGAAAGCTGAGTTTACTGTCACGTGACGGTACGCACTCCACACTACTCCTAGGATTCTGCTGACGCTGTATGAACAGAGAGCCTAAGTACCTACGTCCTGTGTACTGAAAGGAGGGCAACAGGAACTCCTGTACCAGCTCAGCAGATGCAGCTGTGCTACAGCACAAGTTTAAACTTCTAGCATCTTTCCCTGCAAGCTGCACTCCAGTCCCTGGCAGCAAGCCTGCCTGTTTTCCCCCTTCCCCACTGATTGCAAAAGCAGACAGGCACTAGCAGGTACCTATCTGCATGACAGAGAAAAGGCATTTTCAAGGTATTTGTGCGTGAAGACATTCCCTAAAGGGAAAAAAGAATCACACAGCAACTGCCACCTGTAAAACCTGGCCCTGTAAAGCACTGTGTATAAGACCAGAGTTCCAGCACAGCCACATCTCTCACCATAATTCAGTTCCTCACTCCTCACAAGAGTACAGTAGTAACATTTAGAGCAATACTACAGATCAAAGAAATCTAAATGACGTTTCCAGCTAGTGCTTTTTCAAAAGCAGCCTTCCATGACCAAGAATTAAAGAAGGTAAAACACCTGTCCTTCTACCATATCAGCTTCTGTTTACAACCTCAGTAAAGCTAACCATGCAGAAGTCCCACAGAATATTAGTTCAACTTTCTTTTATGCAATCATCAGCTTCATTTTCAATAACTCTCTCTGCTAAGGTAAGTCTTTGAATCGCTGGGGAAGGGGCGAAGATTCTGAAAGCAAGGTTCTGATGTACCCACATTCACCCTCCCAGCAGCTATGGCTACAGTCTCTGCTCAAAGGACAATACCATCTCTCTGCTTAAGTTATAAAGACTTTACTTACGGTCTCACAAATGTATTGCTCTTCGAGACTTCAGCAATCAGTGTTTGTAATTTTCTTTTCCTTAATGATTTAAGTCTATGAAGCATCATTTGCTCAGTGAGCTTCCCCCACCCCTGCCAACAATGTGGTTATAAAGGGGAAACCTTCCACAACAAATCCTAAATAAATGTATGCAAACAAACAAAAAAATCTAGGCTATCAACCTTGCACTAGTTGGAAGCATTTACACCAAGAAAATGTAAGATATAGGGAGGGATGGGAGAAGAAGAAAAATTCGTAAGAGATTCCCCCCCCCCCCCAAGCCCAGTATCTCCCCTCTTGAGAAAGTCTGCTGCATTTTTAACGTGGTGCTGATCTGCAGTTTAGAGCAGCTTTGCAACATTCACCTCCAGGAGAACCAGTACTAAAAGGACACACCTTCGAAAAGGGTGTTGCCTAGGAGGCAAAGAAAGAGGAAATAAGCTTAAGGTAAGATCTGTGAATGTTATACTATCGCATTTATACAGCGGTCTTCTTTAACTAGTCAATAATCCATTCTTGAACATAAAAATGAGCACTTAGGATGGCCAGGCCAACATTCAGGTCACTCGAGAGGCCACACTTTCACTAGCATGAACATCACAGCAATTGTAACGAATAAGGGAAATCAAAATGCACATTGTGCAAAGAAGGTATGTGCCTACCTGGTCATCATCATAATTAGGATCCTTAATATCTACTTCTTCCAAATCATACACTTGACCTGGTGTTCCCCAAACTCCTTTACCACCTGCTCCACCTGGCAAAACACAGGACAGTAAGAACGGCTAGTTTACAAAAAATACTTTGAATTGAACACAACAATCCCTTATTCAAAGGCAATATATCACAGCTTGTGCCCACCTCTTAGTTCTCAGGGTATATGCTGAAAAGGGCAGGCGTGTTTGTATGACACGTTCTCACTTTAGCAACTAGTGTTTAATCTCTTTCCAGTAGGCTACTAGCAGTACAAAACAACACAAGAATTACCGAAGGCTGAAACAACTGTGCTTTCAAATACAACCACGCTTTCAGTTTGCCTTAGTAATAGTCCTCTGAATCACCTCCACCGCAACAGTTCAAATCTGTGTATGAAACATACTCATAAAAGGTACATACCTTAAAGACAGAAGTTAATTAATGATACACATACAAGTTTTTGTCCTAAAGACTGCTATCTACTATTGCTGTACCTAACAAAGACCCAAATGCCTGCACAGACAGAGACTGCCGTTTCCAAAAATGATTCCCAATGGGGAAAAAATGCTATGTTTTTGGACAGAATCTAATGGTGCTTTCTTTGCTAGGCTATACCAACCTTTCTTTGGTAGACCCCTTCCCTTTCCAGATCGGGATCGTCTGTCCAGGAGTTTCCCCTTTGGGCTTGTTGGCACAACAACTCCAGTCTTCAGCGTCTCTCCATTGTCACTAACAGAATCTCCTCTCCCAGAATCTCGAGAAGAATTTTTCCTCAATCGTCTCTTTGCTCTAGCATTTATTTTAGCCTCAGTAATTGAAGTTGCAGGAATCCAATTTCCATTGATTTCAGTCTTTCGTTCCTCAGACCCACCATTTTCTTCATCACCAGAAAATTGAGCGTCACTTAGATTATCGAGTTCTTAAAAAGAGAGACACAGTAAAAATCTCATTTACCTTTTTAAACAATTTTCTGTCAAAATGCCAAAACCGCTGTGTATTTAAAATGGATTACAACACTAACATTAGATAGATATCTTACTTCCAACAGTTTTAAGAAGACTTTCTTTTTTTTTTTAAAGTATGTCTACATATCACGGCAATAAGGAGTTCCTTATTCCCCTACACAGGTTCTCCACAACCTAAACAGAGCATCAGTCAAGAGAGGGAAAGCAAATAAATAAACCATTTACAAACAAGTACACCACATAAAACTCCACCCTTGTTAAACAAAAATCTATCAGAATTCCTAAGTGCTTAAGATCTGAATGTCTAGTTATCATGCCACCCACTCATCTCTTGATTTAGAAGCAAACAAAACTGCCAATGCAGTAAGTTCTGTAAGAACTCACTAACGTTAACAGACTATTCACTGAAGTGAAATTAATTTCCTAAATCATCAACCAACATTCCTCTCATTCGAGGAATTTTAAACACAGACCACCAGATGGGAAAGCAATGATTTAGACTAACAGGAATACATTAACAAGTTCACTCCATTTTCTTTTATTCAAGCTATGAAAAAAATGCAGTTCAATACAAAGCCCCGAGAGTTTGGTAACAAATACTTGTTAAAGAAAAAAAAAAAAAAAAAGAGTATTTTTAAAAGATGTGATCTTTCCCTTTTCTTTTCTAGATTCCCACCTCCTAAAGGAAATTAAACGCAATTGTCCCTTTCTAGCCTTAAAAGTAAGAGGGGACAAGTGAGGGAGAAAAATGAGTGAGTTAAACAGGCCAACAAATAAGGCCCAAGACTAATATAATGATCCCACCTTAACCTCCTATGATACCCCAGTATCCTGCAGGATGAAGCCTCCAGTGTTTTCCAGTCTGCCATTTTCAGCGACAGGATCCTAAGTGCTTACTTACCTAGCAAAATCCAAACATCAGTTCATACAATGAATAAGATTAGAATAATTGTTGTAACAAATGCTTACTCTACAATTTCACCGGAGCTTTCTTCTTAAAAAGAAAACAAAACAAACACCCTTCACACCAACTATATGCCCTTTATAGGCCAGAAAAGGGGCTGTCCTTTATTGTGGGCTATGTCACGCCTGTTTCTAAAATTGCTGTTTATTCCCCAGCCCTACCATAAAGAAAATGAAACAAAGCTTAATACCTATTAAACCCTTCCCCCTAAAATGTAAAAGTATTATCCCTCCCCAACCCCCCAAACCCACCTCTCACAACTTAAGGACCTGTGAACATCTCGGGGCACTGAGAAGTGCAACAATTTTCACTCTTTTAGGAAGCTAATGTACATCTAAAATTCGGACCTAAGGTCTCTACTTCACAAAGTCATGATCTTCTCCACAGGAACTCAATGATTAAGCAGACTTTTATTAGAAGAGCCTTTAGAATTTCTTCTTCCCCTTTCTTCATCCATAAAAATGGGGACCGATTTTACATTCCAGTTAATACCCTGAAAAGTCTTGCAAATTAGAGCAAACATGCATGAAGGCAAAAGCCCAAGTTCCCTGTTATAAAGCCCTTCTTCTCCTGTTCATTAGGCTCGAAGAAAAACCTACAGCCCAAATCCAAGCCCAAGAGGAAGCCCAAGCCCAAGAGGAAGCACATTGGTGAGGCTCACAGAAGATGCTTTTCCAGCTGTACCAAGCCTACTTTACAGAAAAGTTCACAACATCAACCCAGAACATGAAGAATATTTTAAACTTGTATTTGAACTTAGCTGAAATATATTACCTCACCATTTCTATACATGGTGATTTACAGTGTTCACTTGGCCATATTTCTCAGAACTGTATTTTTTCAATTCAAAATAGGTTCAGGCAAAGTTTTGAAAACAAAGTGCACTAATGAAACATTTCCAACCTCAAAGCGCTTATCCATATCAAAGAGGATATTACACTATAAAATTAAGAAAGCCTGATGCTGCCTTCTTTATGATCAAAGAACCAACATTTAGATGCTAGCGTTCACAGATGTGAATGCTACAGTTGAAGTTTAGACTGGAATGACTGCATTATTGTTCATCTTTCCACTCATTACTCCTACAAAGCATTCCTTTTACGCTTGCAGCAAAATAAAGTATGCATCCTATCCAGAAAAGAATTCCCACAACAAGCTTTCTCAGTTTGTCTAGTATTTTAATAAAATAAGGATAATTTGCATAAACCTCGCAGAGGGAAGGGGGGGGGGGAAGCTAACCCAAACAGGTTTCCTTCACCCATCCATCAGCACAACCACCTCATCTCAGAGAAGAACTGAATTAAAATTCTTCTTTGTGCCCCATCTTAATTTCTCCAGTTTAGACCTTCAATCTGGCTGTCCAGGACCTATATTTTTCAGTGACCACCTCTCGCTCAGTTTGCAAAGAAACCGTTCTAGAATTAACACAAGGCAGTCCTGAATCTGACTACTAAGGAAAAAAGGGGGAGGCTATAGTCCCAACTTCCTTAAACAATCCTGATCTCAGGTTTGAGACTAAAGGAAATCCTCCACAGAAAACACCCTTACCATAAGACTCAATATTTCTCACTGCATTACTAAACACATATTTTTTAATATAACACTATTACTTCCAGCTGAAATCTGACTCTCTCTCCATAGTACTGCGATCCCTATGATGGCCCTCCACTATTCATTACCATGCTGTGCTGAACAAATAGATTAAATGGTTATACTAGTTTTGATGAGTGTGCCACTACCTGTCTATTCTCAACTATGGTTTTCCAACAGAAAAATCACATCACGATGTTAAGCAGAACTTCAGATTATTTCTTTACAGTATGTTTTAGTTTGAGAAGTTTATAAAAAAAAAAAAAATCAAGAAGTGTTATGAAATCAAAAGCACAAATAAAATGAGGCTGATCTTCCTTTCAGTTTTACATTTTTACATCATTTAACATATACATAAACACAGATAAACAGTAGCATTCTAAAAACTTCAAGGCTTTGCTTGCTATACATTAAAGTTATCCAAATCAATCGTACTAACTGCCAATAGCCTAGCAGGCACACTTACAATCTGTGCTTATATAGAAGCTACTGTAAATAACAAAAAGAACATTCAGCCAATACTTATCTACACAGTAATTTAATTTGGCCAAATTAGGTGAATTTAGAGATCTAGCAGTCTCGTGTCTTTATCCAAATGTAATTCTAAAATGCTAAGAATCAATGCTTCTTTTACAGTATTAAATTAAATTCTGGTAGTAATATTAAAATTACAGTTCATCTACAGAAAGTTACAATTTCAATTGCATTACATAATCTCTTAACATATATATACTTTTTTTCCTTGAAAAACATCAGAAGCCCACAACAACTCTTTGGTATAAAACAGTCAGTGCAGACCATTACAATATTTGGAAGACATAAAAACATGATACTGCAGTAACTGGACCTTGTTAGAAAAGGCATCTGCGATATGGACAGAACAGTCAATTTCAGGGCGGTCTCTAACACATACCAAGTAACGTTTTCCCATTCCAGCCTACTTCTAGCCAAACCTTTCATCATTTTCTTCCTCTAATTTTAAAACTAAACAGCTACAGAAAAGCAGCATTTGTCCTTCTCAAATGCACCTACACATTTTATTTCTGAAGTTATTCTAAAATAAATAAAAATAAAAAAACACCCACAACACACACAGAACCCAGGCAATACAACTTAAAACAGAGAACATTTCAGGCCAACCAAGCAATTTTAAGCACAAAAAAACCGAATGTGTTACTTACCTGCAGGGTTAACATAAACGTGCTTATTTTCTATTTCCATAGCTGCTTAAATGAATGGACAGCAAAACGCAAAGTCTTAACGTTTTCCTTTCAAGACCTAAATAGAAATGTAAAGCTTAGTGGAAAGGAAAGCACTGGGCTAAATCATAAAGGACTAAAAAGCTGCAAAAGCTTCACTCACAAAATACATACTTAACTAACTGTAAGCACTGAAAAGCCTCCTGAAAGGCAAAAATGTGTAACATGAGACACCACCACCTTTAAACACATCTATCTAGATGTCATAATTCATAGCGCAAAATTATGACATCAAGAATGAGAACTTGATGTCTTCGCAGTAGTGGTTCTGTTGCTGAGAGACAACAGGTAACAGGCGAAATGAGGCGCCAGGATGAAAGCCGTTAATTTATGGGTAAAAGCCCTCTGTGGGCAGCTCTAGCTGATAAAAGCCGCTTCTATCAGCTTAGACTGTCCTCTTCTGCAAAGGAATTATCTACTTGAGCATACAATATCAATGTTATATTGGCACCCACAAGAGAAATGTTCTTCAGGTTTAACTATACTGATAATTTGGTACAACTTTATCAAAGTTCAGACAAACCCTCAGAAGACACATATTTTTGTTCCTCCCTCAAGGACAGAGTCTTTTTATTTTACGGCATATGTATGCCTATCTACAGCTGTCAAGCTCTCACATCTGTGCTTATGGACACGCTAAACTCTCTTCACACCCACCATTCAATCAACAAAGATAAAGTTGGAAATTTCTGGTTTTCTGCTACTCTCTTTCTCCCCCTCTTCCTAACAGCTGCTGTTCTAGAGACCACCAAGGGTCAACACTATGATGGCATCATCCATCTTTCCTTTATGTACACAAAAAAAGGTGGCTCCAGCATCCGTCACATCTTTTTTTTTTTTTTTTTACCTGCAGTGTTTACATGAATCACTTTGTAGTCTTATGAATACTACTGACTGGTGTATGTCTCTGTCCCATGAGAATTCAGTGGCTCTTCTTTCCCTTTCTCATCTATTACTGCCCTGAAAACAGCTTAGCGAGGAGAGGCAAGATTGTGACATCCAACGACATCACTCCCTTCCGCTTTTCTTCTCTTCCTTTGTTTTCCTCCCTTCTGCCCACTGTACCACAAACCTATTAACTGCAAATGATTCATCACAAGCAGTTGAAAGTGAAGAAATTCTGGTTTGGGACACAGTACCAAGTTGTCACAATCTTGTATTTTCCTAATGTCAACCCTAATTCCAAGCAGTTAAGGACTTTGTGTAATAAGAAGTCCTCCCTGCCCCAAACCATTTTTTAGGAAAAGGTCTTTCTGAATTACCTCAGCCATTCAGAGTTCAAGTGTTTTGAGTCACTGGTGGTTAGAGAGCTTTCTTGTATGGATCTGGTCTAGTCTGAGCAAACTACCACATAAGAACAGTTTTATTCTTCCCAGTGAAGTGTTCCATCAGTTGTCCACTTCTTTAAAAAAGATGATAAAGGACCAAAATGTATTAAATAGCAACCAAGAGAAAGTATTTCATTACTTATCATCAAGTTTAACTTCCAGGTGAAGGAACACTTTTTCCGTACAGGGCAGTCTTGTGTACCACTACACAAAAACAACACAACTTTCATCTGCAGTCTTGAGATTCACCCTCATCAGAACCCTGCTTTGCTCATAACTAGCATGATGGAATAACTGGGCTTTACAATTCATATTGTTACACTCATCAGGAGACATATCCTCACTTTAGGAATGCGCTCTCCCAGCCTAGACTCTAGTTAATGCAAGTTAAAGGGCCTGCCCGAACTTCAGAATGCTGCAATTTATCTCTGTAGCAAAATACTAAGTGATTTTTTGGATAAGTTACCTGCACCATTACCAATCAACCACAGAACAAGATCCAAAAACTTGCATTAAAAACAACAGAATAAATAAACCCAGAATTTATGTTAGAAGAGATAAAACTGGAACAAAATGGACAGAAGTAAATTTAAGTGTCTGCAGAAAGAGAACACCGCAAGAGATCTCAAGATGAGTCAGCGATACGAAAAGTATTTTCAAAATAGTCCAAAAGACCGGAGCTACTTCCTAGGCCACTGAAAGCCACCGGTAAGCTGCGCACAGCAACCGGGGGCCGCCTACTCCCGGCCAGCCCACGCGCCTAGGCCCACACATGCACTTGTACCCGTGGGGGGGAGGGGAGGGGGGGAGACAGGGACAACCCACGCGGCAGGGGACAGCTCCAAAAACCTCCCCAAACCTTACTCTATGTGAAACATCCCCGAGCAACTTGCGCGTCGCTTATGCAGTTTTTCTCTGCCCCATCACTTTTAAGCAGAAGCTCGTCAAGCTCGTCATCGCCCCGGCGGCTGCTCCGCAGCCCCACGCGCCAACAGCCAA